CCTCAGTTTCTCCTCCTCCTGTGACTTGGCTGGTTCTCTCACTGGGCCTGATTGCAATGCTGGGAGAAACCACACGAGGGCACCAGAGCCATACTGGTAACTTTCTGCGGCTTGTTCCAATCAAGGGTTCTTGGCAACCTGTCCCACACAGCCACGGCAGGCCTGAGGTGTTCCCTGCAGAAGGCAGCCAGTGAGAAGAAATTGACTCATAAACTCTGAAAACCCCTTAGCCCTGTCCTTCCCCATGCCACACTGGCCAGTGTGACTCGGAGCTGGCCACGCTCAGCACCCTGACGCATGAGGAGGTGAGCTTGTGTGTGGCTTCCAGTAAGTCTGTCCCTCTCTGGGCTGTTTTTGGCCTGCCCCGCAGGGTCTCTCAGAGGAAGGCACCTGGCCACCCACCACTTCCCGCACTCAAAGGCAGCATTTCCTGTGCACAGATTTGTGCTCCTGGTCTTACTAAAGACTTGGGAAGACGCTGCTGGTCTTTTCTAGGGGAGGCAAGTCCTGGAGAGGAGGTCAGGTCACAGCTCCTGACCACCATCTTTGTTTAGTGTTTGTCCAAGTGAACTTAACTATATATATATTCCCCCAGGTGTAAGAGTGTAGATGTGACCCACAGAACACTGGCCCTTGGGTTCTGGGTGAACCCTGAAGTTTCTGAGCTTTGCCCTCAATGAATGCAGGTGTTCCACACTTGTGCGTGCATGTGTGTGTGTGAAGGGTTGGCGCCTGAGAGACCTGGGAGTTGGAGGTGTGGGCTCTGGGTCACTAGGACGTGGGGATGGAGGGAGAGGCAGAGCCTGAGTTCTGGGGTCCTACTGGAGGTCAGGGCTGCAGCCTTGCATTGGCTGGAGGGAAGGAGGGGTGGCAGAGCCAGGCAGGTTCCTCCAGCAGGGGAGGCAGTTGTTGGACAACACTCCAGTATGTGCTCCTGGACATGACGTGCCCTGATGGACCTCTGGGCTGGTCCATGTGGGAGAGGGGTCTTGGGCTCCCGGCCCTCCTAGGCCCTCCTGCCACAGGGAGACCACGGCTGCAGTGCCATCTTCCAGATGTTGTGATGATGGGGGTCAAGGCAAACAATGAGAGATGGTGTGTCAGTTGTGCCCTTCCTCCTAAGGATTACCTCCCCTAGAAAAGGAGGTCAGTAGCATCTCCCCGAATCTTGTGGAAACCAAAGGTTACTTCTGGGCTGGAGGAGGTGATATGCCCCTCTCCTTGCCCTGCCTTGGCCATCTGCCTTCAGAGCACCCAGGAGACACAGGAATCTTGCTGTCTCCTACCAAGGCAGCCTGGGCCACACCAGGCCCCATTCATTCTGATGATCCCACCTGTTAGCACTGCCTGCAACATCAGTCTCTTCAGGGCCCCGGGTGAACTCATCCTCCAACTCCACTCTACCGCTACCAGATGTAGGCCCTCACAACCTCATCTGGCTCTTCTGTATCAAGTATCTTTTTGTGTTTGTTTTTCTACACTGGAAACTTCTTGAGGCCAGGGGCCAGGTCCATAGACCTCTGTAACCAGCAGACCTGGGGCCAGGAGACACTCAGTGAGTGGCTGCTGAATAAGTTCATTTGTTTCCACTTAACAAGGTCATGAGGGATCTGTCTTCCTGCTCAGGAGGAAGCAGAGAGGTTCTTTCTCTCCTGTAATGATCCACGTGGGAGGTGATGGCGGCAGCTCAGCATCAGCAAAAAGAAGGGCATCCTGCGAGGTTTCTGGGGTGTACGGCTGCAGCTCTTTTCTTTTGTGGTACTAGGGATTGAACCCAGGACCTTGCACATTGGAAGATTCTACCATGCAGACACAGGCACGGTGGTGCACTTCTGTAATCCCAGCACTTGGGAGGCTGACGTGTGAGGACTGCCACGAGTTTGAGACCAGCCTGGGCTAGTGAGTTCAAGGGCAGCCCAAACTACACAGCAAGACCCTCTCAAAAAACAAAAGGAAAACAAGAGTTCTACCTTGGAGCTATGTCCCTAGACCTATTTTTTTTTTTTTTAAATTTTGAGATAGGGTCTCCCCAAGTTGCCCAGGCTGGCCTTGAACTTGTGAACCCTCTGGCTCAGCCTACCGAGAGCTGGGATTACAGGCATATACCATCATATCCACCTCACAGTTGTATTTTAAAGAAATAAAGCATGCATGCTCACAGAGCCACACTTATGCAAGACACTCATATATTAAAAACTTCATGTTAAATATCCATCATTATACACTGTATCACACAGAATTGGAACTTTACAAGACACATTTTCAGCCCTAAGCAGCTGAAAGGAGGCAGTGATACAAACAGCCCTGAGGGAGATGGTCAGGCTGAGGGCCACCTGTGTCCTGAAGGTGGCTTCGAGATCTGGCCTTTGCCAGATCTGATTTGGAAAGTTTTCTGCCTGGCCGCTGATCCGGCCAGGGCCTTCTGGGTGGTCAACAGGCCAACTACGAAGGGCAGCCTGCCCCAACCGCAGAGTTTCTGTGTGTGCTGTCCCAGGGAGAACACACGGCAGACCCGGCCATCTGCCCCTGCTAGGCCTTGGTCAAGTGACACCAACCACTTCTGAGGGTCTCGGTGAGCCACTGGCCTGGGGTGTCTAAAACCTTGGTCCCGGGACCGCTGCAGAAGCAAAGCCCCCAAGGGCCTCTACCTGGTCACTTGAGGCCCCTTGTGGAAACACCTGCCCACACGCTAGCCACAGAGGGCCATTAACCCAGAACCCCCTGTGGTGAGCAGTCCGGAGAAGACTCTGAGTTGTTTTTGTTTTTTTTTCAAATCAGTTTCCTCCCAAGGACTGCTGCGTCTCTCCAGGATCCCCGGACTGAAGGGCCTCGGAATGACAGGCAGGTGGGCTCTGCCCCCAAAGCCTCTGTTCTTCCTGTGGACACCATCTTGCTGTGCTGGGCTGCCAGAAGGGGCCTTGGCTCCTCAGCACTCAAGGACAGAGCTGCTGAAGTGGTCAGGGCACTGCAGTCAATAATGGAGCCAGCAAAGAGGGGAAAGAAAGAAAAAGAAAGGGAGGAAGGAAGAAAGAGCCCTCAAGCACACTCCTGTGGTTCTGAGCAGCAAGGCCTGTTGCTGGCTGGAGGTTGTGTTTTGAGACCAAATGCTGAATGCAAGATATTGTGTGGCAGGGAGCTTTTTCTCCCCCTCAAAGACGTTCAGCTCTTTTTTTCCCCTCTCCATTAATTGGCAGACGATAAAAAAAAAAAAAAAATTAAAAAACCAAAACAAAAACCAAACCAGCGGCAGTAACCTGAATGTGAGTGTTTCTGAAAGGGAAAAGCTGTTTCAATTGTTAGATGTCCAAGAAAACATGAACACACGCCGACAGAGGAAACGCTCACAATCAGAGGAAGAAGAGGGAGAGGTTCATAAAATTAAAGAAAAAAATTCCTTTTAGCGGTTCCCGTCCTGTATGCTGACTCCTCTGCCGGCCTTGGTCTCAGGGAAGTAGAAGTCTAAAGGAAGCGGACAGAGGGTCCCAGGAATCCCCAAAGAAGCAAAGGCAAGGCTAGAGGGCGGAGGGCCCACTTCCTCTTTCCCCGCAGGAAGAGCCTTTTCTGAGAAGCTGGTTCTGGCCATGGCTCCTAGGGAGGGCAGCGTGGCCAGGACTCTCAGGAAGTGTCCTGGAGACCGAACCTGACCTTGCCAGTGGGAGGTCACACAGCCTGTGACCGGAGGAACCCCTCCCCCACCCCACCTCCACCTGCTTCCTAGGATCCTGACGCCCTGTCAGCAGCTCCAGACTCCTGTCCGCCACCCGTCTGGCCTGGCTCACTCCAGGCACTGTCCTCGCTCCCTGCCCTGTGAAGGAAGCAGGAGGATGACAGGTGAATATTACACGTTGGGTTGCCAAGGGAATAGCTTTGGCTACAAACTGCTGAAATTCCTCCCAAATGTAGCTTTTATTCCTGCTCTGCCCCAACCTGACAGGTGGCCCTCGTAAGATTTTTTTTCCTCCTCTGGGTCTGTGTCTTCACATGTGAGGAGTAAACAGCCTGAACCAGCTCTCATGCTCTGGACTGAACCACCTGAGACATAAGCAGTGCTGGCTGTCTGCACCTGAGTGCCGTTCAGGTCAGCTCCTCACTCCTTTCCCCTGTGCTGGGAGGATGGTCAGCAAACTTCCAATCTATTCAGACCAGCTGGGCGGGACGTGTACCTGAAGATGCCCCTGGAGCCCTGACTGGGCTGGCCCCTTGCAGCCCATTTGGTAGGAGGCAGCTACACCTTTCGTGTGGCTATGTGGCAGACAGCAGGGGATGGGGTAATCTACCATGTTAGCATCTTCCTGAGCAGAGACAGGGTGCAGGCAGCACAGATGACCACTGTCCCTGGCCTGAGGCCAGGATTCTGCCCTACCCAGAGAAATGCAGCAGTGACGCCTTGCACAACCAGAAAGAGCACTGGCTTTAGAACTTCGTGTGACCTTGGACAAGTTACTTTCTATCTGAGCCTCTCTTCTCCCCACATGTTAAAATACCTCACAACACTGACCAGATGATGGGGAGAATTCTTTTTCTTTGAGACAAATCTCACTGTGTAGTCCAGTCTTGACCTCAAGGTGACCCTCCTACCTCAGCCTCCTGGGTGCTGGGATTAAAAGTGTGTGCCACCACACCCAGCCTGGGGGAACCCTTTTTAGACTGCTGGATGCTATACATCTCAGGAGTAAAACAGACTTGCTGTCAAGTAGCCACTATTGGAAGAGAGAACCTTGATCTTGAGCAACTTTGAGGCTCTAGGCTATCCGGAACTCTCCATCCCACTCCTGTGCTCCTATGTGCCTCTGACTGCTTTGGCCCAATCCCCATAGCGGCCATTCATGGGCCCAGAGCCCAGGCAGACCTGAGCGGTGCCTCTGATGGCACCGCCCTGCAAGGCCTGTCACAGCAGCAAGCCAGAGACGCGCCTTGAGTGCCTTGCTTGGGAAATGAAACCAGAAGGCAAGCACCGCCCCACAGAGCCCGTGTGGAATAGGAAAAAGGGAAGAAGAATATATATTAAATGACTATTTTATTTACACACCCTATTCATAAATAATTGCATCCTTTTTTGACTGCACAATGATTCCTTGAAGATCTAATGATTACACGGAGAGACTAAATGTAGGTTGGAACTTACGCATGTGTGACCACATGCTCGCACAAGTCTGTGCTCATGCGCACACTCACAGAGACTCCACACCGGAGGGGCGGCTGGGCCCCTGGGCTCTCAGAGCCAGCCTCTGGCTCCCAGCACTGGTGGGTGGGTGGGAAACTTTGCAGTACACAGGTGTGAGTTCCTGACAGCTGGAGAACAAAGAGACGCAGCCCAGGGAGCTCCAGCCCCACCCAGAGCTGCTGCCTTTGTTCACCCTGTAAGGCATCTCTTTGGATTGCAAATACTTAATTCACAGAAACTCTAGGAGGGGTGGGGGTGGGGACTGGGGTGGTGTGGGGGCCTCCCTCAGCCTCCACCCAGGCCTTCTCTGGCCCCAGTCAGTGGCAACAGCACTCTAAGACATGCAGTGGTGTGCTAGTACCATACACACGACACAAACTGGACACAGCTGGCAACACGGTGGGGTTGTCGGTGCCCTGCCGGCTTCTCCAAGTCTTGGGCTCTGTCACAGAGCAGAGAGGGACTGGTCCGTTCACAGGGTCCGCACAGCCACAGGATACAGGAGGGACAAGTGCTCAGCTCCTTTGATGGGTAGCTTTCTGGTGGTGTAGTAGTGGATGACTTCCGGGACACTGTCGAATGGGGGGCTGTTCTGACCCAGAACATATTTCTCTTTGGTTTTGGCCAGTTTCATGTGCATAAAGCCCTGGTTGCTCCTGTGAACGAAACAGAGAGGTCAGCAGGATCTGATCATTGCTGGGGCTGAGGGAAAAAGTGAAGTTAGCAGAGGGGAAGAAACAATCTGTGATGGTGTCGTTCAGTTTTGCTCCCTGGCACTAGAAAAATGCTTGCCCCTTGAGACCTTTCCTCCCGACACTGGGTCCAAATACCTGCCAAGGTGCCAGGACTCCTGGGCTACCTGGAGAGAAGAGATCCCAGATGCAAAGCAGCTGTGAGCTGCAGCTTTCCAAGACAGGACTGGTCCAGGGCTTGCTGAAATGTTGCTGCACCCACTGCTACAGGAGTCTTCCTGCTGGACAGCTTCTAGGACTTAGGGACTTACTGGTACTGAAGCAGAGCCCGGACAAGCCTTGCCTGGCAGATACAAGGTATGTGTATTCATGTTCCCAGTGCCCTAAGTAGGCAGGGCAAAGGTCATTGCTTGGATGCTAGACGAGGAAACAGTGTGGCAGCGATGGCAGCAAGGTGCTTTCCCCTTCAATAGTGGGCACTATCACTTGCAAGGGGCCACTCTGCCTGGGGCTATATTTCCCAGCCTCCCTTAGCTCCAGTTAGCCATGTTACTAGCTATAGCCAGGGAACATGGGTAGAATGTATGCTCTCTCCCAGAATGCTCCAGCCCAGGCGGGCATTCCCCTCTGCCTCCTCCAAGGTCCAGCCTCTTCCTCTGCCAGGCTGTCTTTCAGGCTTCCTCAGGCACAGTGCCTTCCTGCCTGTGGCTGCTCTATGTCCAGGCCTGCCTCCAGAGGCACTCGCTTTCCTACACTGCAGTTACTTAGCCTCTCTCCCAGTTCCTCCTGAGAGCACCATGGATAAAAGGACGACATCTTTGTGACCACTGTCACTGGTTTCAGATCTGCCTGGGAGGGACCACCTGAGGTGTCTGGAGGGAACAGCAGTGGTGGGTCATTCAGAGGTAGGAGCAGAGCACCCCCCGTATATGCCAAGGCCCCTCCAGCTTGTCCTGCATCAGCATTTGGAGTGGGTGCAGCTCAGGATGGCCAAGGTCCAGCAGGGGACCTGCAGTGGTCCCAGGAGACCTCTCCCATGTCACGCTCCAGGCTCCGCCCACACAGGCTCATGCTCACCTCCATCATCCTGCCTTTGTGCTCAGCCAGGCCTTGCCTTTGATGGCTCTGTTGCTACATCTGCAAGTTTGCAAACCAAAGCCCAGCTTATCAATGGTCTTGTCATTTGGCTAGGAAGCTGGAGCTTCTGATCAACCTCCTGCTACCATCTCCAGGGCCCAACCCTGGACACAGGCAACTTGTGAACAGCTCTAAGACCTGGCTTCTAGGAGCCCACAGCCAAGCCAGCAAGGCTGGGAGCCAATGTGGACACAGAGGTGTGTGGCCTGTCTGAGCTGCAGCTCCTCTCCTGTGCTCCCCCCGGGGCCACCAGAGGGCTTAAACACATCACCTTCAGGTGGGACTAGGCCCCCAAGCACTGCTCTATAACACCATTTTCAGATGAGCAGAATAAATGCTTAATGAAGTGCAGGCTCTGAGCAACACATCTGCTTGTAATAATGTATTTAGAGATGTCACCCTTGGCTTAAAGGAAATCGTTTGGAGAGCAATTACATTTCAAGAGAGAATAATTCCTGCGAAGAACTAAAATTTAAATCAAGATTTTTTTAAGCCTGGCAGTGTTCTAATTACAGAGCCTGTGGCAAGTTCCGCTCCTCACTGAAGGGTCACTTCACCAGAGAATCGCCAGCCTGAGTCTGAGGAGCAGGATGTTCGCTTGTTCAGGCCCTCAGGAAGGCAACGGTGAATGCGCTCCCTGGAAGCGCCAACAACCTGCCTGCCCAGTAGGACACAGCGGGGGCAAATCAGTGCCAGCTGGAAAACCACTGGGAGCCCTTCAACAACACGTTGAGTCGCCCAGAGCTGGTGGCAGGCAGGAGGCTCTGTGCTCTCGGGCCCCGCTCAGGTGGGACTGGAGGACGGGAGTGTGGTGTCAGCTCAGGGACCTGGGGCAGAAAAGAGGGTGGGGCTGTGATGGGTCATTTCCCCCCCTGTGTGCTGAGTGGGGTGTCATTTTGGGGAGCCAAACCATGGCGCTTTGTGATCCTCTCAGGTCTATGGCCGGGGAGTGAAGTACAGGACTCCTAAACGGAGGGTCCCAGTAGTTGGTGAGAGCCCAGACTATCACAGCTCCGCCCAACTGCATTTATGAGCCTATTTCATTTTCAAGAAGGTTAAGGAGTTGGGCAGAGTGGCACATGCCTGGAGCCTGAGGCAGGAGGATTGCCACAAGTTCAAGGCCAGTCTGGGCTATATAGCGAGTTCAAGGCCAGTCTGAACTATGGAACAGACTTTGCCTCAAAGAACCAAAGAGGTTAAGGAAAGTAGCTCACATGGTTAAACAGTCTGAAAGAGCAGTTTCAGTCAGGTGTGACAGCACATGCCAGTAATCACAGATATTTGGGCGGCTGAGGCAGGAGGTTCTCAAAATAAAACAAAAAAACAAAAACAAAAAAAAGGGCTGGGGAATGTAGCTCAGTGCTAGAGCCCTTGTCTAGAATGCAGAAAGCCCTGAGTTTAATTCTCAGTACTGAAAAAATAGAAACAAAAAAGATAAAACCAGGACATGTTCACACTAGATTGTTTTTATATCACCAGTGACACTGATGGTGGCAACAGCTCTGACAGCCACAGGTAGAAGCTGACGCTCCTCCATTCCCAGGCCAGGAACGTACAGTTAAAGCCACACACAGTCATCTGTGCCTCCATGGCTGACCACAGGCAAGGCAGCTGTCAGGCTGAGCGCCCCCGCCCCAGCCTTCCGTGTGCCTCCACAGCCCGCTCTCTCTCATGCCCAGCCAGCGTACAGAGGCCGGCGACAGAGCATCAGCCCACGGCCTGACCAGGCCAGGTGGAGGTAAAAGGCCCATGTGCCGACCCTCCCTCAAACACTGTCCTCTTGGCCCCCTGAGGGCACCTCCAGGCCTCGTTCCCTGGGTTTCTGTTGTAAGCCTAATCTGCTGCCCAGTCCCTGGGAGTCTCCAGCAGGAAGGTGTCGGGGACCAGCTGACTCCTCTCCACTGGTGCCTGGCCCAGTCCCGCTCGCAGTAGGGCATCAGCCTGGACTGTTACACAGAGGGCTCAGCGACTCCTGGGGACTTCCTGCTAACTAGGCCCTGTGTAAAGAGTATGGAGGCACAGACAGGGAAGTTGACAAGCCTGGTGACAGCAATCAGAAGCAGTGGTGCAAGATCCCTTCCCTGGAGGCCTTTCCTGGAGCCCGTGCTCCCCACCTCAGACCTCAGCACTAGCTAGACCCAGTGGACTGGGCCCGACCTAACGCTCAGAGCTCTCTGGCAGGATGGCAGTCAGAGGCGAGAGAGCCTGAGCAAAGGGGTCCTTCATGCTGAGCCTGTGTCCATAATGCCCACCTCACAGAGCGGATGGCATGTCAGACAGGGGAGTGAAAGAATACGTGTCACTCACACACACACACACACCCATGCAAGTGCATGACTGTCCCAGGGATCAGCAAGGCCATGGCCTGACAATGAATCCCCTAGCTGCAAAGGCAGGTGGTGGGCACTCCCCAAAGTCTCCCCGGTCCTGAGAAGCTCTGCCAGTCCTACACCAACGCAAACATCAGATGACCCCTTGTCCACACACACAAGAGAGGTGTTGTAATACTATGTCTTGATTGGTCACAAGATCCCCACAAACGAGACGCCTAACAACAGTTGAAGATTTAGAAGTTGCTGCCAGCTGGGAGCGGTGGTGCACGCCTGTAATCCAAGCACTGGGGAGGCTGAGGCAGAAGGACTGCCACAAGTTTGAGGTTAGGGTGGCCTACACAGTGAGTTCAAGGCCAGGCTGAATTACTCAAAATAGCAAGTCTATCTCAAAAAAAAAAAAAGTTGCTGCCAATGATGGTTTTAATGATGTTCAACACTGCACAAAGATGTCAACATAACGCAGGAAAACCTTGAATTTCTGTAGTGAACGGAGAGGTGAGGAGAAAAGGGGTATGCTGTGCTGCTATTAACAGGATTTTAGAGCTAGAAGCAGCCTGGGGATCATGTCTCATTCCCTGAATCCTGCAGGGAAATGAGGCCAGGGAGACATGTGACCCTGGCCCACAGTACACAGCAGGGGGGCTGCAGATACAGCCAGAACCCAAGCCCTTGCATCCATGGCCAGGTGGGCTGGGCTCCTATTCAAACAGCAGGGGCACTGTGGTTCTCCTTGGGAAGTACTGGGTCCCTGGGGAGCTCTGACATGCTCCTGCTTTGATCCCACCACCTGCCCAGCTCCTGCATCAGCCTTGTCTCCTTTGATAGGACATCTTGCCAGAGCAAACTCACAATTAGGGGTGTCTTTGGCGAGTGACCTGTCTAATGAGTCTCGGAAGGCCACGGAGGTGGGGATGCTGGGGCTGTCACAGTGCTCATCATCATCATAAAAAGCACCTCCTTGTCACTGGGATTAGCAAGCATGCCTGGCGCGTCAGCCTAATAACAGGCCCCACCTCGCCTCCTAATCATGAGCTTTAATAAAACATCACTCAGCCCACAGCTGCCGGCCGAGCAGGGTGCGAGGCCTCACCTCTCGCTTTTAGACCTAATTGCTTGATGCATATTTCATGAAAAATCCTGGGTAATAGTTATGTTAAATCGTTTCTTTTCACGATGAAATGACTTAAAAACACTTGCATATAATATTTATGTGGGAGAAGGAAAGAAATCGCCCTTTGGGACTATCATGTAGGCCTGGTAGAGCAACCCCACACACAAAGGACTTCTGGTTAAGCGTGGCCTGAGAAGTGGCTGAGAGCTGCTTTTTCTTTTTTTGACCCAGATGCCTCAACAACATTGTCCCTGAGCTTAGAACCATCCACAGCTCCTCACTGCCAGTACAGAATTAAGGACACCCGCACTTCTCCAAACCTCACAGGGCACCAGGCACTGGGCAGAGCTGTCTGTGACATTATTTAAGCTGTGTGGCAACTC